GGTTCCGGAAATATCCTTAATGTGTAACTCAATTTACCAGAATTTGATTTATATGAATATCTGCCTTGACACAAATAACTAAGTAAATATGTTCCTTCAAAAGCGAGTCAAAGAGCTAGAGAGGCGTCTCAGAATTCAGGACCTGAGTTCAGCTCCCTACACCCACATTAGGAGGTTCACAAAAGCCTGTGCCTCCAGCTCCAGGAAATCTGACTCCTCTGGTCTCTGGGGACATCTGTATTCACCTATGCAAAATTCCCGCCCCCTCCCACATACATGTAATTAGAAATAATACAAATATATCTTTTCTTAAAAGGAGTTCCACACAGTTTAAGGCTGTATGTATAATGATCTTCTTTGTAAGAAACTTTAAAGCTACAAGACAAAAAGGCTTGAATGTTGTGCCTCCATATAAACTCTAGCTGTAGGATAGTAATGCATGGCTTCCCTAAAAGCAAAGATCCAGAAACTTATGATTTCAGGAAATAAGCTCAGAATCGTCTCCAGGTGTATCATCCAAATTGAAAATTTGCTCATATTATTTGAGCAAATTTTGTTGCTGTTTGTTGTTTTGCTTGCTACAGGGTTTCTCTGTGTAGCCCTGAGTGTCCTAGAAATCACTCTGTAGACCAGACTGGCCTCAGACTCTGAGATCTACCTGTCTCTGCCTCCAGAGTGCTGGGTTTAAAGGTGTTCACCACAACACCCAGATTTACAGGAAGTCTTTAATAATACTTCAGCAAATTATGCCTTCCAACGATCAATTTTACATTTTATGTCTTTATTTTTTAAAGTTATGCTCTTTGAAGAATTATTAAATTTGTATTCTACTTTAAGATCCAAAACTTTGAAAACAACTTCAATAAATATTGAGACTAAAAAAGGTCTCAAAAGATGATAAAAATACATTGCATCATACCATTCCAAGTTTTTGTTTTTGTTTTCCAGCTTTCTTACCATGTTGCTCTGTCTGTTGAGACTATTAGTTTTTATTCTTACCCTTTGCTCCTTCTTATTTCTCCTCCTACCAAACTATGCAAGTAATTAGACAAGGTACAAAGTTTAGGCACCACCAGGATGGTGACGTGGTTGTAACAGTAAGTTACAGACCAGCTGAAGCTACAGGTAGAAGTGGTACAAGTCTGTGAGGCCAGCCCCCAGGAGGCCAGGGAAAGACCTGCTGGAAGCCAGCTAGAGCTGCAGGCAAGACCCTGCCTCTCCAAACACACAGAACGTGCTTTCTACAACAAAAGAATGCTTTTAGTTTAGAACAATCATTAAATAGCTGCTAGGAGAATAATTTAGGAGACGGTCTTATGAATTTTTAAACGCATTTTGGCCTCATTAGAAAATTACAAGCAAAATGGTCTATTCACCAATAATTACATCTTTTCTGATCATTTCCCACAGTAAAAGTTTAAAGAAACATTAAGCCAAACGAGCCAATATTTATTAAATAAGCCACAATATTTTAAGGGTTTGTAAGTCAAAATATTTAATTTTATATAATTTTAAAAAAACCCTCCTAAAATACTTACTAAACAATTTGATTAATCCCTCAGGAAATTAAGTATATTAAAAATCACTGACCCCTGATTACATAATTTCTTACAGGGGTCAATCCCCCCTTCTGACTTTGCACTGCGCCTTGTTCTTTCTTAGTGGTTTTCTACGAAAAATAGTTCAAACACCCCAAAACCACAATTTCAAATCCTTCTCTCCTGTGAAATTTTTTTGAGTCACCAAAGCCTGATACACTACCTTTCACTAATTGAAGAAGATAAGACAGAGACCTTGAACTTCAGTGCAACTGTATTATCCCACATCTTGTGTAGTAACACAAAAGTAGCAACAAAGACATTAACAATTGCAGTTCAGGCTGGGAGTGACTGTTCTGTTTCAATTCAATGACACCACTAATGGCTTCTTAGCAGCTCCATGAAATCAACCAGCTGTCAAGTTGATGCATCAGAAGGAGCAGCTATGCACTCCCATAAGAAAAAGCAACACATCAGGATGTTTGGCTAAACATCTGCTCCTTTACACTGCAATTCTATAATAAACATGCAAACAAAGAAATGGGAGAAAGGGCAACACATACAGAATCCCAAGCTTTCCCTCAGAGCTTGTATGCATTTTAAGTGAGTGGCTTCTATAAACCAAAAGCAAATTTCTGCAAAGTCCAATACTTTTAAAATATTTTTCTACATAAGTAACTTGGATTCTTCCAGAAAGACTAGAATTACACAAAATATTTACATTTATAAATGAATAGTAAATTATATTTATCAAATCAATATCACAGTGTTATGTACAAAACTCAAATATTAAAACTAAAATATGGCCTTTCCCTTCACACTATCTAGTAAATGAGGCCGACATTAGTGTAATCAATGCATTTCCCAAGACTGAGCTGCTAAGATTGCACTTTCACTAGTATAAAGAGTGAATGCCCTCCTTTAACAGTCAGGGCAATAGTTTAACCCACAACAGAACACATACTATCATCTAGATTTTAAAATATGTACCTAGTTCTGTTTCTTTCTCTGAAAACCATTATATGAACACATAAGTTCTGATAAATAACTTCCTGTCTGAAAAGCATATGATCTGATTTCCTAAAAAAATAAAATAAAATAAAGTTCTTTGTCATCACAGCATAAATAGATTTTACATTCAACATTTGTTTTAAACATTTGTCAAATCTTTTCTACTAAGACATACAAATGTCATCTAAATTATTGATTGTACAGCAGTGTTTACAATAGGTGTGAGACATCAACGTACTTAACTACCATTTTCTTAAACTGCTTATCCTCTGTTGCTTCCATTTATAATCTGCCAAATCTTCTAGTCCTTTGTTGCATGTATAATTTAGAGCCATCTGTTCTATGTGCTTTTAACTATTTAAACATTTTTCACCTACCTACAATTCACTAAATAGCAGACATTCAATTCAGTCAAGATTTCTATGTAGCAATCATACAGCAAATTGCTGGAAAAATAGCAGAAAACAGCAAAGAATATTGCTACAGAAATTTAAAACATACCATTTACAATGTAAGTTTTCACATATTAGACAATCTTCTTAAAGTATTTGGAATTTTTCTATTTGCTTTTTTAAAAAGTTCATTGTAGTCAATGTTTTTTCCCAACCCAGAAGACAAAGGGAATGCAAATTAAATACAGACAGTTTCATGTCCTTGTTAGAAGAGATGTAAATATGCTGACTGAAAATGACTGCTGGAGACAGAATTACACTTTCCCATTCAATTTACTGTGCCTATTTATATACTTGTCAGTGAGTATATCAGTGAGCATGGTCATGTGACCAGCTCAACTTTTTTTGTAAGGTGAAAAACTATTTAGGACAAACAAATTTAAATGGTCGTTTTTATCATTATTTTTATGATGGTTATAACGTTTACAGCAAAAGATTATAAGTTATCTATTAAAGTTAATTCTGCCTTTTATAACCTGAACTACGTTTTTGAGCAACCCTTTGACTTTAATATTCAGTACTGAGATGTAAAAGTATCAGGATATTCTGAGTAGTCCTTTTAAAATGTAAAAAAACACAGAAGAGGGGAACACAATTACAAAAGGGGAGGCACATAGCCCAAGTGATACATATGTGATGAAACTAAATTTGATGAATATACGGAACCACGTGAGAAAAAAATATATATATTGTTACAAATACACTTGAAAATTTAAAAAACAAATATTTCATGCACAAAATTAGGCGACTATTAAGTGGCACAACAAAAGTTTCGATCATTTTTTAAAATAATCTTTCAGTTGTTACCAAACATTAAATTGCGGGTTTTGCGATACGTTTTGCGTGCAAATACAAAAATATACCCCGCAACTTACCACTAGGCTCTAAGTTACACGATTCCGTAAAACGAGAAAATTTTGAGGGGAAAAAAAAACACTTTGGGGAAAATTTCTTGATAAAGTTTACATGACGTCACATGGCCCCCCGAACCGTTCCCAAACTTTGAGCCTTACGGAGACACACTTTTTGCATTTCTGCGGCGTCTTTCCCTTCCTTAAAAATTAGGAGAGAGACGGACTTGGGAATAAAAACTGCCCAAGATGGCGAAACGCTTGTTGTTTGGAGGGCAGGGGGAAAAATGGAGGATATTGTAATATACACAAAGGGGTAAATTTCGACAACTCGGCCGCGGGCTGCAGCTGCCTCGCTCCTTCCGGGGAAGCCGCACACAAAAGATAAACACGGCGCGGAGGCCGGGAGGCGGCCCCCGCCGCGGGCGGCTCGGAGGCTCGGCCCGCTCCCCGCCGCTCGGGTCCGGACCCGGGGTTCGCGGAGCTGCTTTCGGGGAGGGGAGCGGGCGCGGGGGAGGGCGGGCGCGCAGCCGGGCCCGGGAGCCCAGCCCGGCGGAGGG